GCATCTCGCACGCTCATTCAGTGTTCTGTTCATCCTCTCCGCAATGCCATTTTGTTGAGGTGTCCCTGGGACCGTCTTCTGCATCCGGATCCCATGATCAGCGCAGTATTCCTTGATGGCTTCACTGCTATACTCGCCACCATTGTCGGATCTGAGACATATTACTTCTAGACCTGTCTCTTTCTCTACGAGTGCTCTCCATCTCCTGAAAGTATCAAAGGCGTCAGATTTTCTTTTCAAGAAGTACACCCATACCTTTCTTGTGCAGTCATCGACGAACGTCATGTAGTACATCGATCCTCCAAGAGATGTCACCGGTGCTGGCCCCCATAAGTCAGTGTGCACGAGCTCCAGTTTTTCTGTCTTTGGAGCTCTCCCGGTGGTCGTGAAGCTCACTCGCTTCTGCTTTCCAAGCACGCATTGCTCGCAGAGACCCACGTCCACTGACTCCAACTCGGGTAAAAGTCCTCTCGACTTTAGTATCGTCATTCCTTTCTCGCTCATGTGGCCTAAGCGATTGTGCCACAAGTGCGATTGTGAGACAGCTCCTGCCAGGAGAATGTTTGAGTTGGATCCACTCGCCGTGTAAAGCGTTCCTGACTTCAGCCCTCTTGCCAAAGTCATAGCTCCTCGGCTGACCTTCCACTTTCCGTCTCCAAACATTGTGTGGAAGCCGTAATTGTCCAGCTGTCCAACTGAGATGAGATTCCTCTTTAGTCCTGGAATGTGCCTCATATCCCGTAGGGTCCAGCATGACCCATTTGCGGACTTGATCTGCACATCTCCCGTCCCTACAATTTTTAGGGGTTTGTTGTCTGCAAGATATACCACGCCAAAATCACCTGCGGTGTATGGCTCCATGATGTCTCTGCTACTGCAAGAGTGAAACGAGGCCCCTGAGTCCACGATCCAGTCATCGAGCGAGCTTCTCACACTCAACAAGAGTGCATCCGCCGTGTCCTCCGTCGCGGCATTGGCTGTCCGGCCTTCTTTGTCCTTCCTTGGTGCCCGACATTCGCTTTTTATATGCCCAGGCTTCTCGCAGTTCCAACACACCATCTCTTTCTTACCTTTATTCTTTCCCCTGGATTTTGACCTCCCACGAATGTTCCCTCGTATTTCGGGTCTCCCTCTGGACTCTGTATGTAGGGCTGAGCCAGACGACCCACCCGCCTGATTTCTGCGGGTCTCCTCGTTCAACATCATATCTCTTATGTTGTCGAATTTCATCTTCTCCTTGCCAGAAGAAGTGCTCACCGAAGTAACAACCACGTCCCAACTGTCCGGCAATGATGAGAGCAAGATTAGGGCTTTTACCTCATCATCAAACGAAATATCCACCGATGCCAACTGCGTCGTGAGTTGGTTGAAATCGTTGAGATGATCGGCCACTGACTTTCGCTCCTCCATTTGCAATTTGAACAGCTTTTTCATCAACATCACCTTGTTTATTGCTGATGGTTTTTCATACATGTCGGCGAGCGTCTGCAAGACCTCCTTCGTGCTTTTTGCTCCCTTCACATGGTAGGCGACGTTACGAGAGAGCGAAAGAATTATGGCGCTCATCGCCTTCCGATCGAGCACCTTCCATTCATCATCGCTCATCTTCTCGGGCTTTTCCCCAAGAGGTGCATAGAGGTCCTTCCCGTACAGGTAAGCCTCCATTTGCATTCGCCAGAATCCAAAGTCGGAACCATTGAACCGTTCGACTGGAATCTTTCCCTCCATCTTATCTCCAACCTCCTGGCTCTGATACCAGTTGTTGGGAAAAGAGGTCAGATAAGATGGAATAATAATAACACACCAAAGTGAAACCGATAAAAAGACACGAAAGTTTGTTAACCCAGTTCGGATTAAATCCTACGTCTGGGGGCGAACCAAGCCAGGAGAATGAACTAGAAGAAGAGGATAAACCGAATGTTACAACTCACACAAGCCCGTTTGAATACACTCTTTCTACTCTTCTCTCTCTCTCTCTCTGTTATGTTTTTCTTGGTTGTGGTGTTTCAGCACTTGGAATTGGTGCTATTTATAGACGAATTAAAGCCCCATTTTTCAACAAATGGCAGCTCATTTTTCAACAAAAAACAAAGCATAGGAAAGTGAGGTGTAGGTTTCCAAGTTGCTGCCTCTTTCCATTGTCAAAAAATATTGGCTTTCCAAATTGGTGGCTAACAATATTCGTGTCTTTCATTGATTTCACATTGGTGTATTATTATTATTCCATCTTATCTGACCTTATTTCCCAACAACTGGTATCAGAGCCAGGAGGTTGGAGATAAGATGGAGGGAACGATTCAAGTCGAACGATTCAATGGTTCCGACTTTGGATTCTGGCGAATGCAAATGGAGGCTTACCTGTACGGGAAGGACATCTACGCACCTCTTAGGGAAAAGCCCGAGAAGATGAGCGATGATGAATGGAAGGTGCTCGATCGGAAGGCGATGAGCGCTATAATTCTTTCGCTCTCTCGAAACGTCGCCTACCGTGTGAAGGGAGCAAAAAGCACGAAGGAGGTCTTGCAGACACTCGCCGACATGTATGAAAAACCATCAGCAATAAACAAGGTGATGCTAATGAAAAAGCTGTTCAAATTGCAAATGGATGAGCAAAAGTCAGTGGCTGATCATCTCAACAATTTCAACCAACTCACGACGCAGCTGGCATCGGTGGATATTTCGTTTGATGATGAGGTAAAAGCTTTAATCTTGCTCTCATCATTGCCGGACAGTTGGGACGTGTTTGTTACTTCGGTGAGCACTTCTTCTGGCAAGGAGAAGATGAAGTTCGACAACATCAGAGACATGATGTTGAACGAGGAGACCTGCAAAAATCAGGCGGGTGGGTCATCTGGCTCAGCCCTACATACAGAGTCCAGAGGGAGATCCGAAATACGAGGAAAAATCCGTGGGAGGTCAAAATCCAGGGGGAGGAATAAAGGCAAGAAAGAGATGGTGTGTTGGAACTGCGAGAAGCCTGGGCATATGAAAAGCGAATGTCGGGAACCAAGGACGGACAAAGAAGGCCGGACAGCCAATGCCGCGACGGAGGACATGACGGATGCACTCTTGTTGAGTGTGAGAAGCTCGCTCGATGACTAGATCGTGGACTCAGGGGCCTCGTTTCATTCTTGCAGTAGCAGAGACATCATGGAGTCATACACCGCAGGTGATTTTGGCGTGGTATATCTTGCAGACAACAAACCCCTAAAAATTGTAGGGAAGGGAGATGTGCAGATCAAGTCCGCAAATGGGTCATGCTGGACCCTACGGGATGTGAGGCACATTCCAGGACTAAAGACGAATCTCATCTCAGTTGGACAGCTGGACAATTACGGCTTCCACACAATGTTAGGAGACAGAAAGTGGAAGGTCAGCCGAGGAGCTATGACTTTGGCAAGAGGGCTGAAGTCAGGAACGCTTTACACGGCGAGTGGATCCAACTCAAACATTCTTCTGGCAGGAGCTGTCTCACAATCGCACTTGTGGCACAATCGCTTGGGCCACATGAGCGAGAAAGGAATGAAGATACTAAAGTCGAGAGGACTTTTACCCGAGTTGGAGTCAGTGGACGTGGGTCTCTACGAGCAATGCGTGCTTGGAAAGCAGAAGCGAGTGAGCTTCACGACCACGGGGAGAGCTCCAAAGACAGAAAAACTATAGCTCGTGCACACTGACTTATGGGGGCCAGCACCGGTGACATCTCTTGGAGGATCGATATACTACATGACGTTCGTCGATGACTGCACAAGAAAGGTATGGGTGTACTTTCTGAAAAGAAAATCCGAAGTCTTTGATACTTTCAGAAGATGGAGAGCACTCGTGCAGAAAGAGATAGGTCTGGAAGTGAAATGTCTCAGATCCGACAACGGTGGCGAGTACAACAGTGAAGCCATCAAGGAATACTGCGCTGATCATGGGATCCGGATGCAGAAGACGGTCCCAGGGACACCTCAGCAAAATGGCATTGCGGAGAGGATGAACAGGACATTGAATGAGCGTGCGAGATGCATGCGATTGAAGAGTGGACTGCCCAAGATGTTTTGGGAAAAAGCAGTCAGCACGACCGCTTTCTTGATCAACCGGGGGCCTTCTGTCCCACTGAACAACAAAATTCCAGAAGATGTCTGGAGTGGTAAGGAAGTTGATCTCTCTTTCTTACGTACCTTTGGTTGTTTGGCTTACGTTTTGAACGACGACCGGACAAAGCTGGATGCTAAGTCCGTCAAATGTACGTTCATTGGATATGGGACTGACGAATTTGGGTATAGATTTTGGGATGATCAAAATCAGAAAATTATTCGCAGTCGTAATGTGGTGTTCAATGAAGGCATAATGTACAAGGACCGGAAGGAATACCCGGACGATGACAAGACCATGCAGGCGTATGTTGGTCTCGATATTTCAAATACCAGAATCATGAGACCAGCAGATTCAGTGGGAGCTCAGATAGATGAGATCGAGCGTACAGAAGAAGAGGCAGAACCAGAATCGGATGAACCGATTGCTGAGAGCAGAACGCCTCTGGCACTGGGCCGAGACCGAGGATGAGAAGGGCCCTAGATAGGTACTCCCCTTCTCTTTATTACCTGCTTTTATCTGATTCTGGGGAACCCGACTGTTATGAAGAGGCAGTTAAAGATGCCCACAAGAGCAAATGGGAGCTTGCGATGGACGACGAGATGAACTCGTTGAAGAAGAACCACACATGGGATTTGTGTGATCTCCCAAAAGGAAAGAAGGCTCTTCAAAACAGATGAGTTTATCGGGTCAAGGAGGAATCAGATGGGACGAAGCGATACAAGGCCAGACTTGTAGTGAAGGGATTCCAACAGAGATACGGTATTGACTTTACCGATGTTTTTACACTTGTTGTTAAGTTAACCACTATTCGTCTAGTGTTAAGCATGGTAGCGGCAGAAAATTTGGAGTTGCAACAGTTAGATGTGAAGACGGCTTTTCTGCATGGGGATCTCAAGGAGAAAATTTACATGGTGCAACCAGAGGGATATAGAGGAAATGATCAGCAGGTCTGCCGCCTAAAGAAGAGCTTGTACGGACTGAAACAGGCTCCTCGACAGTGGTATCGAAAGTTCGATAATTTCATGCTGGAGATTGGATACTCCAGGTGTAATGCTGATCATTGTTGCTATGTGAAAAAGTTCGGTAACTCTTTCATTATTTTACTGTTGTATGTGGATGACATGCTGATAGCAGGATCAGATGTCAAGGAGATCGAGAGGCTCAAGGATCAGCTATCAAGGAGATTTGATATGAAGGATCTAGGAGAAGCGAGACAAATACTGGGCATGAAAATCACGAGCGACAGGAATGCTGGTAAACTTTGGCTTTCTCAATCTGATTATATTGAGAAGGTGTTGTGCAGATTCAAAATGGATACTGCAAAGCCGGTTGGAGTACCATTGGGAAGCCAGTTCAAGTTGTCCAACAAGGATTCGCCCAAGGATGACTCTAAAAAAGAAAGGATGAGAGTTACGCCTTATGCTTCGGCTATAGGGAGCCTGATGTACGCTATGGTCTGCACCAGGCCAGACATAGCACATGCAGTGGGAGTAGTCAGCTGGTTCATGAGCAATCCTGGAGTGATGCACTGGAAGGCGGTAAAGTGGATCCTTAGGTACCTGAGAGGTACTAAGGACCGGGCATTGGTATTTGGCAGGGGTACCCTTACCCTGTCTGGGTTTGTGGGTGCTGATTTTGCAGGAAGTGATCATGACAAGAGGAGGAGTACTACTGGGTACGTGTTCACTTACGGTGGAACGGCCGTATCCTGGATCTCAAAGCTGTAGAAGATAGTCACATTGTCAATAACGGAAGCTGAATACGTGGCAGTGACGGAGGCAGCCAAAGAGCTCGTTTGGCTGCAAAACATTCTGAATGAACTTGGGAGACCTCAGGAGGATTGGCTCTGTACAGCGATAGCCAGAGTGCAATTCATCTGGCAAAGAATCCCGCGTTTCACTCACGAACGAAGCACATCGAGGTTAAGTATCATTTTATCCGGCAACTTCTAGAGAAGAAGATGTTGCAGCTGAAAAAGATTTGGGGAGATAAGAATCCTGCAGACATGTTGACCAAGGCAGTAACTCTGGAAAAGTTGAAGCTGTGTGTAGCTTCGATCGGCCTTGATGATTAAAACAGACAGACCCGGCAGAACCAGGAGCAGAGATGAGCATGTTGATCGATGAGGTGTGAGGACAGATTGCAATCAATCCTCAAGTGGGAGATTGTTGAGTCAAATGAAATTGGCAGTACCTTCTTTGACATTTGCAAAGGAAATAAAAAAAATGAGAGGAAGCATCCTAGCAGCAGCCTTGTGAAGACTTTTAACAGCAGCACACATATTGAAAGAATTTGCAGCATTTCCCTTCTATAAATAGAGATCTAAATTTGAAGAACATCACAACAACCAAAAACATAACAAGAGAGAGAGAGGAAGAAAGAGTAGAGAGAGTGTATTCATACGGGCTTGTGTGAGTTGTAACATTCAGTCTATCCTCTTATTCTAGTTCATTCTCCTGGCTTGGTTCGCCCCCAGACGTAGGATTTAATCCGAACTGGGTTAACAAATATTCGTGTCTTTCATTGATTTCACATTAGTATATTATTATTATTCCATCTTACGACCTTATTTCCCAACAACTCGGGCAGAATATAACAGTTCCAAGTCTGAATTAAGTTCCATCTATCTTTTTATATATAAATTATAAGCAATACAAGAGTAATAAAGCCATTCAGCTGGAGAACACAACACAAAAATACAAGATTAAATACCAACAAAATCATATATTAGAGACATATGAAATTTGAAAGGTAA